ACTAAACCAATCTACTGTAGAACCTAAAGTGAAAATACCACTTCAAGAAAAAAGACAATTCTCACAGCTGATGTCATCACCAGTTCACTCGCTTTAACCCCTAAATCTTTGACCCCAGTTTAAGTTAAGGGGGTCATCCAATTTTATTTATTTTATCTGTGTGTTTTTCACAAACTAAAGTAAATCCACCCGCTTAAAATGATCCGTAATGAGGAGAAAATGCTCTGAACAGCTGATGATGGAGGTTAAGTGCTGCCGAGTTGCGCTGAGCTATGTGTTGATCAAACTGGGCAAAGCGCAGGAGTGATCTATGTCTTTAAGCACCTCTGTGTGCTCTGCTGGCACACTTGATGAGCTCTCACAATGACTGAGAGGAAAAACAAGTCTAAGTGATGTGGCCCTCCAGTCACCTGACCACTGCCACTGTGGGCCCGTGGCTGGCTCCGGTCTTCGTGGCACGGTGACATATCGTACAGGTATGAGGCAGTCGGTAGTTATTCATCATCCGTAATGTTAACGATTACAGCATGTCGATAGCAAACCCAGGAGTAAAATGAGTTTGTACATCCAGCTACGCCTGCTCGGAGGTGGTTCAAGGTCAATCCCTGCCGTCCCTGACAGGAGGGATGATTCCCGGGCCAAACTGCGAACACACACATCTTCCTTCAAGGTCAAACGTGCCACTATTTAGACCAAATAGATACATAAAACACTCCGTCACGAGGGGTAAAGTATGAGGTGAGACCTTGGGCTGGGGTAAAGTTGGCCAGCAGCTTGTATATTTCGTACCGTACTTGTATTTCAGCTTGACACTTTGTCTCTTCCTCCCTCTGTCTAACCCCTCATCACTTGAACGTTTAAAGTCTCTTTTTATGTGAATGAACGCAAAAAGTTGCCATCGATTTTTGCCGTGTAAGAGTTCACCAGAGTGCAGCGTGGAAGGATCTTGAGATGACAAACTGTGTTCATCGCTCAGCCTGGTGGCTAGCTGAATTCAGACTCTGCAGCCTCCACTGAGCTGATCTGTCAAACATACTGTGACCAAAGCTGCTATTCACCTACGGCTGGTTGAAAAAAATGAAAACACAGAGCGCCTTTTGTGTTCGAGCAGAAGCAGGACAAGGCTCGGGCGCGTGGTCAGAGGATACACTTGATTTGGAGTCAGTTAGCAGCACAAGCCTATCGTTATGGACAATAGGGCGAGGGCGAGGGTCTCCCTCCCCTTAGCTTTCGGCTCTCCCTCACCCTGTCTCTTGGCGTGCTACCCCCATGAGACACGAGCCGGGGGCTGGGCGCTCTGATGGCCAAGCGTGACATTTAAACCCCTGCCCTGCGGTACTTTTATGGGGTCTTTGTAGAGGAGATGGGGGGTGCATAGAGGTCCATCTGAGCGCGGCGAAAGAAAAAAGGGGGTACAGACAGAGGTTCATCCTATAAACTCCTATTACTTGACGTACAAGGACTACTCTCCCCCCACACACACCCGCCCCCTGCAGAAATCTTCAAGAGGTAGGGGCCCCATTGTGTGCGGGCCTTCTGCTGAAGAAAAGGGTACTTTGGTGGAAAACAATTCAGCTGTCCACTCTGATCACAATGGGGGCACATCCCATTGCTTTGAGCATCTGTTTGGAGGTGTTAGTCCCCTCTCGGCTCAGCAGCACCGTCCACACGAACACGACTAAATCCCTGAATCTGCTGGCCCATTACCACCTGCTCTCTGCCTCCTTTTATCATTCTGTATTCTGATCAATACCGTCGACTCCACCGCGGTGTCTCTCAAACACAGAAGGCAGAACGTCCTCGTGCTGGCTGTTCAGCGACGACGCACGCTTTTAAAACCGCGCACGGTGTAAAGGCCAACTGTACGAGCTGACCGAGGCACCATAAGAAAGAAGATGCTATGTGGGGTAAATAAAGGACCAGTAGTTATCCTGATGGATAATCTGTGGCTACCTGTCGCCCCCTTGTGGTCATTTTCCATATTTGATTTCCTACTTCTAAAATTGTTTAAATTTTAAATAAAGAATACTAACGTGATTAATGACTTATTTACATGTAAACTGATCCTAAAAAAGCAGATACCAACAATAAAACCAGGTGAATCCCTTGAAAAGTTACTTATTCGTGTTTTATTAGATATTATACAAAAGAAAGTATAAAACTACTCGATAAGTCTGCTTCAACAGGCATCTGATTTTAATTAACGAGTCTCATTTAAACTATTAAATATTTTTGTGCATTTAATAGAATCACTTTTTATTTTGTAATTAGATGTTTGCGTCTTTATCTGTAGTTCCCAATTATTTTATTTTATTGTCTATTTGACACCTGTTTTTTTTTTTTTTACTAATGCATTACTAAAATGGCCTTTACAACATTGCATCAAACTTCTTATAATAAAGAAATGACAATTTGAAGCATTGTGATGCCATCAGTCACGTTATATTTCTGGATAAATGTAAATATAATGTGAAATTTGCACATGTAATCCATGTTTAAGTGCCCTAAAATAAAATCTGTACAATTTCCCACCAAGATGCCATAAAAGACAAAGTTAAAACAAAAGGAAAACTACAGAATTATATAAAATTTAATGTTTTGTAAATGTGAACCTTTTGTAAAAAAGTGTGGTGTACAAAAAAAATGTAAAAGTTGTTTAAAAAGATTCAATTGATCATTTTTATTTCTTTTAACCACATTTATTTTTCTCAGAAATTATCTGGATGACATTTTTTTACCAGATTTCCTCCGACGCTTCAGCCCACCACTTATTTCCAAAGCGATGGGCGCTCTGCTGGGGAAGCGCTAATCAGCTCGGAAACATTTACTGGCCTTCTGGCAAGGTCAGAAGGGTCAGGTCTTTGGGCTGGACGTCCACTCCACTCTTAGCTCCTCCCTCTCCAACTGTACAGTCCAACCCCCCCTTGGGCCCTATAGGCCCTGAAGGCACAATCATCGCACCACAACTATAGGAGCAGAAGCTGGCTTTAATCTATACGGAGCCATGGGATGGATTGCGTCTGTCTGTCCATCAGCCTGTCAGCGCGTCTTGCCTTGAACGTAGCGAGGCAGCCCCTGAGCAGAGTTATCGACTCAGACAGGCTGAACCCAGATCAGCGATTGGTCTGCAGAGGCGTCGGGCCGGTCCCTCCTGCTGTTTGACCAGCTGATTGATCTGTTAACACTGGCCGCTGGATGTGTGTCCCTGAATTTAATTTCAGAATTCATTTCTGGGAGACGTGTGTGCACAGAAATGATGAAGAGCCCCGAGATCCAAGTCAAGGATTGAGGGTGGAGACCAAGTAAAAACCGTGATTTCTTTCCTCCCACAATCGTTGGGTATTTGTAAAGCGCTAACGCTTCCACTTTATTTGACAAAAACGTGATTTCAAAGTTGTCCTTTTCTCTGGTGGTTAATTTTTCCATATCATCAGTGCACTTCTGTGCTATACTTGGCCATCTGGTCCAAAATATTTGATTGTTACACATGATGATAGACTGTTTGGGGCGGATTGGTCCTGCTTCTGATTCCAACAGGAGGTTGGCTTGAAACCAGTGGTGTAGTCTACATTTCTCTAGTGGGTATACTGGGCTTAGAAACCAAAATGCACCAATTTATTTTGAATCTGAAGCATATTGAACATTTCCAAATTTCTCTGATGCTTATATTTGAATAAATGAACAACAAACTTTGTACAACCGTTGGCTTTGTATTAAAAACATGTTACAGAATTTATAAAACCGTATCAAAGCAAAGCGCCGCATACCGATAGATCGTTACGGAACCGTTTAACTGCGGTTTAACGCATCAACGACACGTGCCTAATATGTCTCATTGGACACTTTTAAGTGGGTATAATGAAATTCTTAAGCTTTTCCAGTGGGTATATTCCATGTGTATCACGTAGACTACACCACTGCTTGAAACACAGCAATGAAGACGGATCTGGTTGGCAGGCCGCAGACTGATGAAGTCTTCCGGATGGAAGACGAAACGTTTCTCCCTTTAAGAAACTGGTCCAGACGACACGATTGAACCTTTTCTCGTGCTATATTTGCCAACGTGTTTTGCCATTTAAAAACTATTAAATATTGAATTTTTGTGATGCAATATTGATAAGACGATACGAGTTCAGCAACACACAACGTCACCTGCAACATCCTCTGCTGCTAAATTAATAGAACGTGTTGGAAAAATGCCACTGGAGTCGGGCTGCGAGGTTAGGTAACCCTGATCATTTCACAGCTCATAAAGAGCGCCACTGCACCGCCGAGTGTCCACCGCGGGTTTCCTGCACCGCGCTGCTTTATGCCTCTCTGTTATCATAAAAAACCTGCGCGCACAATGAAATAAATGTGATGACCGACGGAACCGCTGCTAGGAAGTGAGGATTGATTTGATGGAGTCTTTCACCCTTCTGGCCTGCTGCAGACATGTGGAGAGGGGGCTGCTTGGATATGCATCACAAAGGCTTCCTGCAGTATTGATCTGAAGTGGGTTAAGGCAGTCTATCAGCAAATGTCCCTCTCTCTGGGAAAAACAATAGGAGATTAAAAACACACAGCTTGCCGGGCGGGAGGCTGCTGATGGGCCTTTATCTGGGCCCAAAGGTCACAGTGTACAGATATAATCCACTTTCACTTAACAGCTTCATTTAAGACACCACGCATGCAAATGGTGACATTTTAGACACATTTATTTATTTTTCCTCGAGACCACTTTAACAGAGAGGAAATTAAAGCCAGCAGACGTTTTGTTTAGCAAATAAAGAAACACAACTGTCTTAAACTGCTTTGTGAGACCCGAGGAGCCGGGTTTTATCAGTTATTTCAATTTACTGCATCCTGAAACACAAATAAATGGACGTGTTGCAAATACTGTCTTTATAAACAGGTGGCAAATAGTTCTAAATATCTAAAGGTTGAATGATGACGAGGATGTCTTCAAACTATTACATAAGTCCTAAACGTTTTAGGCCTGTGTGTCAGTCAAATAAACTAAACTGAACGTAACGTTAAACTGCTCTGCAGAACAAACGTGAACTTTTCTTCTAAAAACAATAACTGCGTAACTTAAAGGTATCCCAGACGCATGAGCCCACATCAACAAAGTCGCTGGTTTCGGACCAGCGAGGTCATCAATGATCTTTAGGCTCGCTGAATTTGCGCTTCTTCTTGGGTACGGAGGCTGATGATTCCTGGCTGTTGGTGATGTCATACTGAGAAACCTGAAAACAGCAGAAGAATCGTGCTGCTGACATTTAGAGAACCTTAACATCCCACTCTGAGAAACCAGAGCGATCAGAGCTGACTCATCGAGGAAACAACGGAGGTTCCTACGCATGTTCCTCTGCTAAAATCACCCCAGACCCGAACACAGCATCTTCATCCAAGTTCAAGTTTAGCAGCTTTATTGTGTGAATGTTTATGAAGCATTCACACTATTGTGATCATTCTTCTGTATGTTTTTCGGCACGATTCTCGTCCCGCAGTTTTCAAGCTATTTCAACAAATCATAAATCAAAACGTTCGGCTCTTTCAGGACAATCCTTCTATGACTCTTAGTATTGGTGCAACTTTAGCTTTATGAAATATTTAGCCTTTTCTGCCATTTTTCCCTCATAGGAAATGAATTGAGCTCATTTTACGTCCTTCAGACCTTTAGATTTGTTCACAACCTTTTACTGCTCCTTTTCACATTTTGTTCTGCTTCAGCTTCTTTCAGCTTCCATGTGCAAACGTAAACTTTTTTCAGCTACTTTCAGCTGTTTTGTGCTCCTTTCAGATGCTTTCTGCTACATGTTCATTCTGCTTTTAACTTCTTCTGCTAATTTCTGCTCGTTATGCTCCATTCAGCTTACTTCTGCAAGATTCTGATTTTTATACTATTTCAGCAACTATATAGCTGTTTTATGCTAATTTAAGCTTTTTCAGCTAATTCCACATTTTTTACACTCATTTCAACTTTGTCAGCCTAATTAAGCAAAATGTACTCACTCCACTTCCTCCTTGTCATTTCAGCTTCATTCTGTTATTTTTAGATACTTTTCAGCTGTTTTTTTTTGCTAATTTCAGCTTTTTTCAGATAATTTCCATTTATGTGCTCATTTTCTTTCAGCCTCATTGGACAAACATGGATTCTTTCTGCCTTGTTATGCTAATTTAAGCTTGTTCTACCTTTTCAGCTACCTTTTTAGCAAATGTAGCTAATTTCAGCGGTTTCAAATTCAATTTTTTTTGTGGTAATTTCTGCTAATTTCAGGCTAATTAACATCTTTATACTAATTTCAGCTTGTTATGCTCGTTTCAGCTTTTTTCTGATAGTTTCTACTATTTCAGTTACTATTTAGCTGTTTATGCTTATTTTGCTTTTTCAGCTAATTCCACTGTTTTTTTTTTTTTTTACTCATTTCAGCTCTTTCCACTTCTTTCTGGTAGTTTAAGCTACTTTCTGCTTTTTTCAGCTACATTTCAGCTATTTTTGGTACTTTCTTTTTTTTTAAGCTAGATTACTATTTTTTGTGCTAATTCTGTTCATTTAAACCTAATTCAGCAAATGTGTTCTATCTACTTCTGCTACATTTCAGCATATTTTAACCAATTTCAGCTGTTTTTAGCAAGTTCTTCTGCAATAAGCGTTCACACTGCATTGTCGATGGAAATGCAATAAATTACTTTTTAAATTATATTTTTAAAGTGGGATATATTTCATGTGGGGAACTATTGTATCACAACTTCTCAATATTTTCCAGCTAAATAATGATTCTACATTTATCAATATATATATTTATATATATATATATATATATATATATATATATATATATATATATACTTTTATATATATACTTTCTAGACTTGTTTAGTGTGAACGTGTACTGCTTGAATGTGCCACAAGCCCATTAAAAAGTCTAACATTAAAGTTTATGAGTTACAATTATAGACATCATAATAAATATATATATATATATATATACACACACACAAGTATCAGATCAGAGTTCTGTAAATGATTTATGGAGTTTATTACCGTCTTTTCCTTCGGTGTTGCTGCCGGCTTGCTGTCCACAGTCAGGTCTGTTTTCTGCTCGCATACAAAAACATGTTTTTAAAATCTTTTTGAAATCTTTTGATATTTGTACCAAGCACATTTAAAATGATGCGCATTCTTTTAAACTAAAATGTTGGTTTTAAAGTACACAAGTCAGTCACAACATGAATACCACTGACAGGTGAAGTGAATGTCATTAATTATATCAGAAAGGACTCAACCATGTCAATTTAAGACAATTTGACATCAAACCCAACCCTAAAGGTGAGGGGTGCTTCTGTCAGCTCCAAGCTCCTCCAACAGGACAACGCAGAGATGAAGAAACAAAGAGGAAAGACTTCATCAGAGCCCAAAATTGACTAAATCCTACACCAGACAGTTCGAATCAATCGTGGTTCAAAAAGCTGATTTAAGTTTCTGTGTGGTGTCCAGTGTTTAGACACCAACCATGTCAACACACACGCATATACACATATACATGGTCAGATGAAGCAAAGTTCAACTCACTGGTCATACTCCAGTCCGATACGTGGAAATACTGAGCTGATATGTCAATCTTTGCCACCTCTGAAGGAGAGGTTTGTCATGTGATGCACCGTCTTTAGGCAACACCAAGAACCTCCATATAACCATAATATGTGATTTAAATATTCTTTCTTATTTGTATTTTCTTTTATTAGTAAATCACATTACAGTATATAGATGTAATTTCTTATACAAACAAGACAGATAAAGGTTCTGATTTTAAAATACCACATGTGCACCCTCGTGTTTTTTTACATTTTAGACTCTGAAACCCTGAAGAGTTTGAGTTTAGATTTAATGACTCACGCTCAGACAAAGCTACGTCTTCAGACTGAGCTTTTTCCCTGGTTCAGTTGTTAAAGAGAAGCGTTAAAGCTGAGGTTTAAATGATTAACTGACCGTTGTGGACTTTATTATCCGCCCACTCCTGGTCCTCTTCTGGCCCACGTCCATGTCAGAGGTTTTCTTCACCAGAGTGTCCATCTGACAAAGGATAATGTAGTCATAATGTAAGCAACTTTTAAATGGGCCTAAAGTTGTCTTTTGCTGCTTTTGCACACATCCTAAAGAGATTCTGCATTTTTGAATGACTGCAAGACCCCGGATCTCCCTGATTTCTAAGTTTCAGCCTCTAAACGATGCCTGAAGTGTTTTATTTTGTCCAGTTTCCCTTCAAAATTAATTAAAATCCACCAAGCCACAGTGGTATGGTAAAGGATAAAACATAGGTAGTCTTTTGTACATTGGCTTTAATTTACTGTGCACGCGAAGTGTTCATACGTACCTCTGTGATTTCCTCACAGGTCCCATCCTTCTCATCACAGCTCGGCTGGATCTCTAATTCGAAAAAAAAGCAGACACTAGTTACTTAATTAACAATAATAATAATAATAAATCAGCACAGTTATGTCAATTCCATCATAAAGACTTTTAAAAACAATTTAAATCTCCGCTACACATGGGTCAAAATGACTCACAAGGTTTAAAGCAAGGCCTGTGGGAGGTGGGGGGGTGGGGGGTCATTTTGACCAAAGGTCAGCAGGAGCATTCAATTGATAAACTGAGGTGATGTGGAATGTGTCATAGCTTCTATAAACTTCTTTGTGTATGCAGAATTGTTACATTTTAGTACACACAAAAGCCCAGACCTAGCTCTAGACGGTGTTTGGATATTTACCGGTGTTGTCCAGGTCTGTGTTCTTGCTGTCAGCTTTCTCCACTTGTTTGGGAACGGCACCCTGAATAGGACGGTACGTTATCTGAACATGGCCCGTTTGAACATTCAAGCAGCGCAGAAGCTACAATAAACTGGTGAAAGCGTGTTTAAGAGGCCAGCCAACTCTTGAGCAACTGACACTTTTAACAAGCTCTCTGATCACGTGACTAATTTTTTTTCCAAGAGGCAAACGAATTCCTAACGGATAATGTCACAGAAAAACACAAGTCAGAGGAGGCAGCAGTGCGTTTTGTCTATTAGAAAACTCTTCGACGTGGAAATTAAATCGGACTATAAAACCTGCATAAATTATCACCTAACACCAAGCGAGACCAATAAACAAATAAAATCACAAAAAGCTTCAAAGCTAACTTTGCTTAAAAATGTCTTGAGTTCTTCCAAACCTGTGTTATGACATCGGGCTCCTCAATGGTCATCACCCACTTCTCGTTCGCAGAGACGCTCTTCTCGACCTGCAGACGGTGAAGCAAAGCAGTGAAGCACCGGCTGCAGAAACCGCGATGACTTCGAGAGCAATTTTTACAAAAGAAACATAAAAGCTTTGAAAACAACTGGTGCATCCGTTGGTGTGTTTTTTCACTAATGTTATTTAGATTTATATATATATTCAAATTATAACGTATCACCTGCTCCAGTCTATGCTTCTCTGTGACCATGTCAAACTTAACGCTGTGAAATGGGGTGGCCACCTCTCCCATGACCAGTTTGACTGGTTCCTGCTCAAACTCTATTACATCGCCCTCGGCCTCCATAAAGCCTGGAGGCTGGTAGTCAGGAGGAGTGACTAGGAAAAAAACAAACAAAAAGAATAAATCATCATACATTAATAAATAAATAAATACACTGAAACTGAAAACAACAAAAATAAGTTCACTTTAACGATTTAAATGTTTGTTTTTTTTGTCCTACGATTTCTTCTACTGCTTTTATATTATTGTTGCTAGCTGGAAAACCAGTTTGTTTATATCACCTAAAATATTAAACATAACCTAAAATAAGAATATCAGCAATGGTCCTCGTTTGGAAAAGGGTGGATTGACATCTCTAGGAGTGAGGATCTGCCTCAAATAGAGGAGATCATGTATCTCTGGCTTTTGTTCACAAGAGAGGGAGGAATGGAGGGTGAGATCGACAGACGATTAGTGCAACTACACAGTGTTGCGGACTGTGTACCGGTCCGTTGTGGTGAAGAGGGAGCTGAGCTGTAAGGTGACGCTCTCCGTCTCTCGATCTATGTTCCTACACAAACTTTGAGCAGTGACTGAAGGAATGAGACAGATGATACAAGCAGTCAAAATTAGTTTTCTCCATCAAGTAGCAGGACTCTCCCTTAGAGATGGGGTGAGGTTTGAATATCTGTGAGGGACTCAGAGGAGAGCTGCTGCTCCTCCACATCAAGAGGAAACAGTTGAGGTGGTCTGGGGATCCGGTAAAGATGCCATCTGGACACCTCCCAAGGGAGGGTTTCCAGGCATGTCCAAATAGGAGGAGACACCAGGGATGACCCAGAACACGCAGGAGAGTCTCGGCTGGACTGGAAACACTTAGGAATCCTCCCAAAAGAGCTGGAAGAGGTGGCTGTGAAAAGAGATGTCTGAGACTCCATAACAAGCGAAAGATAATGAATAGAATGATGTTTAAAATTTTAAATATATACCGTATTTTTTGCTGTATAAGTCAAACCTTTTTGCATAAATTTGCAAGTCCTGCGACCTGTATAATCCGACGCGACGTAGTTGTTTTTCCCATATTTATGAACCAATTTTTTGGCTGAGATCTGACGATTTCATTCATTCTGACATGGAAAATATTGAACACTACCATTTTCAGCCACTAGAGGGCCCTCGAGTAGTATGGCAAGCCAAGTGTCTCATTAATAAGTAAACGTGGCTATTAATGAGACACTTGGCTTGCCATACCAAGCCACCTTCGTCTCGCTCCAGAACTCCTGGAGCAAACGTCAAATCAGCTGCATTTCGACGCCCAGGTGAAATGCAGCTGATTTGACTGTCAAAGTGCATTTATTAAGGAAAAGCTCAACTGAGACGCACCTTTACTATAACGTCGAGCAAACAAATAATTGTTTGTAATGTATCGGTGATGCATGATAGATGCGACTGTATGCGGCGAAGCAACTTATTTATGTTTTTTTTCCACTTTATTGGACATATTTGAACTGATGCGACTTATTCGGCGGTGCGACATGTACGGCAAAAAGTACGTTACTGGAAAAAATATTAAAACAATTAAAACTCAACAATAAATGACAAAAAAAAAAAGCAGTAAAAAAAGAAAGAAAACAAATTAACAATGTTAAAGAATGGTGGAACAGGAAGAAGATAACGTTGTGTGTTTGTTTTACCATCATCGTAGTAGGACAGCTTCATGTTGAGGCAGACGTTTTCCGGCAGCGGCTCCAGATTCTGCATCAGAGTGTAAAGCTTCCTCACCAGCAAAATGCTGGCTCTCTTGGGGTTTCCACACGACACTGTTGACAACTTTTGGTTGCTGTTGCTAATAACAAAAACCATCAAGGCAGAGCTTGAAACGTGCCCGTCATCCAATTGCTTTGTCAGGTTTCTTCCTTCACTGTTGACGTAAACCAAGAAAAAAAAGAATGAACACACCTTTCAAAATCCATGTGCACTCCATCTGTGGTGTACTGGATCCTAAACTGGTAACACTCAGTCAATATCTGTAACAGAAGAAAAGATTAGTTAAAATATATAAGCTGCAGATATTTCATTTGTATTTATGTTAATAGGTATACAATGGCATTAAATGGTCTGAACACTACCTGGGGGTTCTTTGGGTCTGTATAAACCTAAAAAAAGAAGATTGAAGGTCATAACAGCCTCAACTCAAACATTTCTGGTTGAATTTCAAGTCAAGGAGCAGATGAAGTTGTGATCCCGTAAATTTGCCAGAAGCTCCTGAATTTAAGTATCTAAGACCCCATATAAGTACATAAATGTTAGTAATACTCACAGACATTATAACAGACCGCAGCTGGTGAGGAAAAAGTATGAAAACGCAGTTTGACCCCATTAGTTGGTGTGAACATATACTGTAGCGCGTTTATTTTGTCTGATTCATAAAAACTTCACTAGTTTTACACTACAGGTAATCTCAGGAAAAACTTACATATCTCTTCTGGATGGCATCAAAGCATCCCTGAATCCTAGATAAAAATTAAAACAATGTATTATTTATCCCCAGCATACAGAGTCGTGCTCATTACAGCACAGGTAAAAACAGAGGTAATCTAGAAACTAGATAAAATAAACCCAAATGATTTAATTCAGACTCATTAAACGAAAACTCAAGAGATGAATTCTTGTATTTTGTCAACAGTAAACACTAATCCACAGTATAGTCTTAAATATAAACTATAGTGTAGTTTACCATTTAGTTATCTGAAAAGCACCTGGACAGTCACTGTCTCCTTTTAGGATCATCACTTGCTGATCTGTTAAAAAAAAAAGGAAGGAGAGGTGAGGACATTCTAGCTAATATTTCTGAATCGTAAATAGGCCTGTCACGATAACAAATGTTGCTGGGCGATTAATTGTCTCAGAAATTATTGCGATAAACGATAATATTGTTTGAAATTTGACAATAATTAGTAATTATTGTCAAATTTAAGAAGAAATGTTTGCCAATTTGTTTTGCGTGTAGTAACTTTTTAACCACCGGATGGCAGTATAAGACTGTTTGAACTGAAAGGATGAATAGTGAGAGAGCGAGCAGCGTGTCTGTTTAAGAAAATGTGAGGGAGGGCCCTTGACGTGACATGGGCTGTCTCTCCTTCCTGTTTTCCAGTTCTCAAGATGGCAGACGCCCCGTGTGGTTTGAGTTCTTTAGCATAGCATTTTTCACACAAAGCTTTTAATTTAAAAAAAATCAGTAAACAAGTTCTCAGCTTCTTTTTGCAGAGAAAAACAACTTTTTAGACAAAGGCACGAGTTTCAACCGTGGATTTTGGAGCTTCAACAAAACGGGGGTTATATCCCCGAGGTCGGCCTGTTAGCTTAGCTCGTAGCTTAGCTTCTCAGCTTAGCTGCTTTTAACTATCCAAAAACGCGATTTTGGACGATTAAAGCAGATTTTAAACAAAAAAAGAAAAAGGGAGGGGTCAGTGAAGAGCACCGGAGTTGAACCTTTTGTCATCCAGTGTCTTCAGTAGAAAGAGACACGTAGAAACGATAAAGTCCATAAATGAAAATGAGGTTGATAATTTTCATTTATCATGCGATTAAATGATTTATTGTTAATCGTGACAGGCCTAATTGTAAATGGAAACAATGCAGACAATACAGTTTAATTTGTTATCTAACCTTCCACATATTTGCTCCCATAGGCTCTCCCTGGGAATATTCCCCTGAGGTATGTGATGCCTGAAACAGCAATGGCCAGAAGCCTCTTTACAACGACGAGGGACTGTTGCTCGGTGCTAACCTCAGCGGGCAAAAGCTGAGCAGCCTGCAAGAGTGAAACAAACTAATCAGGCAAAGCTGTGCTCACTTTTCTCAGTTAAATATTGTATTATGCTTGTGCACAGGTGCAACACGTCCTTTTAAAATGCACAAACTCAACTGGTAGAAAATGACTTTTTTTTTTTTTTTTCTTAGAAATTAACAAATCCGGTTTTTCAAAGTTCAAGGTTCTTTATTGTCATTCGCATCGTATGTAGTACAAGAGGTGGAATGAAATTGTGTACTCAAGGTACACAATTTAATTCTAATCAAATCTGACTTTTAAAAAGTGGATATCTGAAGAATCTAATGCCAAAAAAAACACATCGCTTACTGGGAGTGTGGAAAACAAACATCAACAAATTAAATATAAATGCATTACTAATCGATATAAATTCTATTTAAACGCAAATCAGAAATGACATTGTCTGTCGCCGTTTCTCAACTCTTAAAATGAAAAATAAATTAAGAAGCTCCATATCACAGCAATGCCAAAGTGTCTTACTTTTACCAAAACACATGTGCCCGAAGTAGTAGCCTGCTGCTGAAAGGCAAAGGTGGATGATAATGTTTTTGTGTCCGTCTGTTATAATATCCCATGAACTACTTAATGGACAGCTTTTTGTGACACTTTCAGAAAATAATCTTTAAATGTATATTTACATCTACACAGCCTGTGTAGTATACGCTAGTTATGTGCATTTAAGCTTATATTACTGCCTGTGAAATACTTACTTATACAAATTCATCCTACTTGCATCGTTATATTCTACCATGATGTTTACTATATTTCCTTTACACCTTGTACTGGTAAATATTTTTCTTTTTCACTTTTTGGAACTTTATTTTGTTCCTTATTGCATGTTTTAGTACTTCTTGTTTGTTTGTTGTTTTTAGCGAGTCGAATCAGTTCTTCTCATCCTGAATATTTCATTGTATTGCTGACCTTGTGTTAACCTGCATATGACAAATAAACAACTTAATACATTTACAGCTGACTAACTTTATGGTGGCATACACTCACAGCCAGCTGACCTTAGAAAACACAAAAAATGGTGATAGCTCTATCAATTTTACAAGTATTGAGCTGAAATACATTGTGGTAGTTCATCCTTAAATGGTGGGAGATGTTAAAGTTACAAGTCATTTCACATAAAAATGTAATTTTACCTGCGAAGGCCTCACTTGCTGAGCAGATGCCATTCTAGTGGAAGTAAAAAAAAAGAAAAATCAGCAAAAAAAATCATAAATAATAAAATAGAGAAGTACTTTTAAACCTAGCACATTTCGCTATGCAGAATACTTAGCTAGTTGACATGCTAACTAGCTAACCTAAAAACATCTAAAACACCGTTAACAACAATTTTGTACAAATGTAGTAACAATGAGTATATTTTATAAACACACATTTCAGCCTCTTTGTTACAAGTTTTAAAGGGCAATTTTTCAGGTTTTGCTGCAACCGGAACAGATATCTTGAAGTTTTAACCGTAACGTTTCTAGTTTTCAGCAACTTTTCACCAACGATCACTAAATTAGCCAATCACAAGGCAGGGCGCCTCTTACAGGCTAAAGACAAAATAATAACAGCTAACAGTTAATGGAGGTAGTTAATTTGATCGATCACAAAAGCAGTGCAACGTTGTTTTTTTTTAAATTGATATAATAGCGTACATGTTCTATAAATTTTATCTTTAGCGTTCTGATATTTTGTGTCGATGCAGATTAGCGCGGCAACGCCCCCAGAGGACATTTTGTAAATCCATTGGACGAAGACCTGTCACTCACAAGCTGCGTTTCTATTGGCTAAAGCGCAAGTCAGTTACTCAGTGTTGCCAGATGGGGCGGTTTACCGCCAATTGGGCAGTTTTCATTTGCGGGTAATAATTGCTTTGGGCGGGTGGAGATAATTTGGGCGGATTTGGAGCCAAATCGGCGGTTTTTGAGTTAATCTGTTAAACACATTTCAAATCATTCATCATTATTTCATAACAAAGCTCCCCTGACCTTTCTGCATCACTGATTGGCTATTGTCATCTGCCAGGGCGTACAGAGAACTGGTGAGGCAGTTTTAGTAGACGCCAACGCCATAGACATTTATAAATTATATATATATATATATATTTATAATTTAATAATTTATATATATATATATATATATATGTATATATATAATTTTTCATAGATTCTCATAGGGCTCTGGTTGCAGCGGTACGTCTGAGCGGCCGCCATATTGGATGTGGCGGAACTGCCGGTCGACTGACAGAAGGAAGTGCACTGAACTTTATAAAGCACCGTTCTGCAAAGTGGTTTTTGTTAATGCCTGTCATTCACACACACTGATACATTTGGAAAACAAAAAGGCACCAAAGACAACATTTGTAACCTTTAAAGTGAATATTAAAAATGTTTACTCCTAAAATATTTAGGTTAGCACTAAACCAACATGTATTGTTTTGAGTGTTTACCACTACTAATGTGTGTAACACTATTACTGTGGTGATAAATATAGAAATATTCATATTGAACAATTAATCTGTGTCTATAATAACCAGATCCTGAAATGTGACGTGTTGAGCAGTAACGTTCAACTGATTTTGATTAATCACATCGATGAACATATAAACACCAATAGATCTTTACAGGGGGTGGGGGGTATTGTGTGTCTGTGTGTGTTCAAACAGTAAATATAACAATATTTGATTGGGCGGGTTTGTTTTTAACATATTTTTTGGGCTGGAAAACCTCGACTCTATCTGGCAACAGTGGTGGTGACGTCTCTCCTTGTCGGTGACGTCACATGTAGCTACGCCATTTTTGTTGGGGAGCAGTCGTGTTCAGAAAATCAGGATTAGGTCCAAAGCAGTTACATTTGACGTGATCTCGTTTGATCAGCCCTTCGAGTTGTCCTCGAGTTGGACAGCTTGTTGTCCGCCACACTCAGACAATGTCGTCGGAAAACCTTGACTCGGACACGCAGGTGGACTACGAGGACGAAAAACAGGTGGGTTTCCTGACTGCTAACTGCAAAACATGCTAACGAGAAGAGGCTAATATAGCACAAGTACTTTCAGAGCACCACAGAGAATACAGCTGAAAGACACTGGTAAGACATGGACAAGCTTTTTTTTTTTTTTTTTTTTTTTTACATGTAATGAGTTTATATGTCCGTGCATTCAGGCTGTATTTCGTTTTGTCCCTTGTGTTACTGGTTGAGTACTCAGCAAGTCGGGCCTATTGGTTTGAGCTAAGGATTCCCAACTCATCTGGATATCCTCTAGTATCTAAAAAAAGACAGAATGTGCTCATTAATCTTATACCTATATAGTAAATATGTTTGATAGCTATAACAAAACAACGTTTTGTCTTAAATAAACACTTTCCACAAGCTTTAAGTTTTTATTTTTTGTTTTATTTTTCCTCCAGTTATGACACGAATGTGATGTTTCTTCAACTGCTTGGCATCAGCAACACCTCAGTTGACATTAGTACACTTCAACATCTGCAACTTAATTTAGTCAAATTGTAAAGTTTGCAACTTCTCATGCTGATCTTGAAATATAAATGCCTACGATTCATCACAATCCAATCATTGTTTGTCAGTATTGATATTGTGCTTTCTGATAATGTGATAATTTACTTTTTTATTATTATTTGTGCAGCTCTACTTAGGATCTAAATGTAAATACTTCCTTGTTTTGATTATCCACCTGTCTAAATGGACTTTTAAAGCAGAAACTAAAAACATTTGGTACAGTGAGGATAAATATAAATACTGGTATTTTGTCCATTCCTTTACAAGCGTTGTTGGTGCATGTTTGAAAGTTTAATAGTCAGACTTATGTTGTCTCGAAACCCCCCCCCTGCTCGATCCCCAGTCATTGTACATCTCGTGGTGTCTCTGCAGGACACCCCATCCCCAATCGCTCACTGGGCGCCCCCAACAGCCGCCCACCCGAGCGCATCCCAGGCAGGAACATACAATGACGACAACACAATACATTTATTTATTTGTTTGGTACAAAATTTGATTGCAAGGAAACTATAAATTTACATGTTTGCACAACTAAAGTAAATAGAAATTGTGCTACTTTATTATGACCGATGTCGAGTGACAGCTGAATTATTACCAGTGAAATTCTGGGTCAAGAAACTTCAGAAATTCCCAAATAGCATGGCCTCAATCATCATCATCAGTCTTGTTTTTATTTAGAGTTCCAACATTTGTTAAATGTGTCAAGGTGTGAAGCAACATATGTAAACTAAATCATTTTCCTTCTAACATTTTGAATGAAGTCTCTTATTGATTAGTTCACTGAGACAACTTCACCGAGGTGCTGGGAAAAGCTAATAACATTCTTCTTTCACATCACATTACATATTGCTGAACTGTCAAGTCAAACCTTAAAGCTACCTGAGGGAAATTTAACTTTCACTTAACTGCTGTAAGCTGTAATACAAGTGGGTACACAAAGGACGTGTTGGTGGATATTGCCATTTCCTTGAGTTGGGACCAAATATAATGGCTCATAAATTTCTTGCCAAGTGAACCAGTGCTCTGAGCTCTCCGTCCCCTCCTCCTAAGGGAATCTGTTCATCGGCTTCTGTGTCCTGAGTCACATTTTATCCTTGTCCCAGCAAGCTGTGTAGACCGGGTGCATAGTTGAAGTAGGTCCACACCTTTTGCTGCTTGCTCCAGGCAACGAATGCACAAATGGCATTTGTCTTATGCAGTCTTGTACGCATTTACCAACTTCTGTCTACTCGCTGTGTTTAACATGCAGTCAGAACTATTATAGACACAAGACCCAGGTTTATGGCTTTAATATTTCACTGGACAGGCGTTTGGATGAGAAGTGTCTTACCAGATTATAAATATTGGCCTCTAGAATCAAATGGCATTTTTTGCACTTGAGGTTTCTGTAACCTCCACCAGGTGTTGCAGCTTCAAACACGCAGTGAATAATTTCATATTTCTATGATTTGTTTGGGTCGGTCTTTTTACCTGGCCTTTTTAATATTTAACGGTACCAAATTCTTCAGCGATGCATAGACTTGGCATCAACGTGAGCATATAAAGGTGATTCTGACCTCTCTTTTGGTTCATGCTTATCATTAAAGAATTCTTTATCTGTGTTCTCTGAGGCGTTAGAAACACGTGATGAGAACATTCACGCTGTGATTTGTATTGTGTAGTTTATTCAGCTTCAGTTATAGCCATCAACTTTAGCCCAATTCTTAAGAGCTAGCTTAAATTTCAGCTGCAATTTAAAAAAAAAGATTTTAAATAAATTGGACTTGTGCACCACAGTAATTTAATTTTTTTTTTGTTGCATGGATTGTGGCATTTTGTGGAAATACTGGAATTGTGGGATGGTTGTAAACCAGGACTATTGACATTACATACCTGCTGTTCCAGTTATGCTAAACCTTTAATGTGGACATACTGGCTGACATTGAAGGGTCAGTGTTTCTTGCAAAACAAGGTTGTTTGAACCAGTTTTATTTTTCTCTTCGCAGGACTCGCAGGAAAAGAACGCAAACCCAGTGAAGGCAGAGGAGGCCAAGCTGAAAGCGAAGTACCCCGGCCTGGGCCAAAAGCCTGGAGGCTCAGACTTCCTGATGAAGAGACTACAGAAAGGGGTACGTGACCACGGTGACTAGATTGTATGACACCTAGACCCGGTTTTGAAGCCACAGTCGAAGGTTCCTGAGCACCTAAATGATACTGAAAGAATATTGTGACTGTTCTAACCAATGCTTGTACTTTGATCAGTTAAGCCTCTCTGCTAAAAGAACAACATCAACTACTGTTTGAAGATCAGTTACAGATAATATTCTCTTCAAAATGTAAAATAATATGTATATTTTATTAATCTAAAGCACAAAAATTGTATTGTGTACAATAAAACCAAGATTTTATTATACATGCATCTGTACTTCAAGGCTAAATCCACCAAAAAACTGTGAGAAATATTAGACTAGAGCAAAGTGCAACAACATTAGACTCTATATTCTTGGCATGTGAAATGCAGCTTATATGAAAGGGCTTTTAGTTTGTGTTGAGAAAATCAGAGCCACCCGGGCTTGTCTGTTTTGTCCTTTTTTTAAACTTTTTAATGACTGCGGAAACTGTTGCTCTTTCCACCTCCTCGTGCTGTTCCTGCTGCAGAGAACCTGCAGCTCTCAAGACACAAGTCAATCTGAGAGATGTGGATAATCACGGGTAAAGAGTGGGCGTAGCCCGAGCGGCTGTGGGAGAATGCAGCTAAGAATCACTGAAATTCAACATAAGGTTATGAGCACTCTTGGCTCAAATGTTTTCTAGTTGGTCATATGTATTTATACTGCAGTCGCGGTGAGTTTAACTGTGAACAGGAGAACGTGACGTGGTAATCCACGCACAGCCGCCACACTAATCACAACAGCTATCGTGCACGAGACGACTGTTATGTGAAATCTTCTTCTGTTTTTGTCTTCCTACACAGCAAAAGTATTTTGACTCGGGAGACTACAACATGGCCAAGGCCAAGATGAAGAACAAGCAGCTACCTGTGGCAGGACCTGACAAGAATCTGGTGACTGGTGACCACATCCCCACACCGCAGGACATACCGCAGAGGAAGTCGTCCTTGGTGACCACCAGCAAACTAGCTGGCTAGCCTTCGTCATCCCAGGAGCGCCCTCGACTCCCCTCCTCCCTGGGATCCCAGGAAAATGCCCCTCTTCCATCTCAACTGTTCCCAATATGTCCACTCCTTCCCTCCTTTTGCTTCTTTTTTTTCATCCCCAGGCACCACTGGCTTTAACATATCGGGCAGAGTTGTATAAGTTAAAACTCCCATTTGCTTGTATGTAGGCGGGGTGGGAGGAATGGAGGTTTGGGGTGGCCACAAGGCTGCAGCCCTCTCTGCCTTTTCACCTCGTACATCTCCATGTCCTCTGCACACGGCTCTACCGCCTCCCTTAGATCTTGGTTTTCTTCATTCCAAGATGCGTTACAGTAGGTGTGTGTCATGAGGCAGGTTGGATGGGGTGAGTTATTGCACTTTGTATTCTGTATAGTATGTTTAGTTCTTTTTTGCATCCTAAGTGACACCAAAATATGTGTAAGGGAGTTAGGAACCATGACTGCAACTACGGTTTGTTTTTTTTTCCTGTTCCAGTGGTTTGCTTCGGCAGGAGGTGTTGAAGCTGTATGTGAATAATCACTTGCGTACCAAATCTGTGAGGGGGAGCTGTTTAGTTGGACACTGTTTTGTTTTTTTACTGACTCCCTGTTGGCAAACGAGTGGAGTGTACTTTTCATCTCGCCCTTCAGTAACTTTTCATCAAAATGTAACCGTGGGTCAACCGCTGCGGCTTAGGCAAATGGGGGATTTAGATCTTTTTATTTCACTTTTGCTCTTTTTGTCTTTAAATATGCTGCATGGTTGTAACTTTTAACAAAAAGAGGCTAAACATAGTTTTTCAAAACGGCTGTGGAACATCGGATTAGCGATTCAGAGGAATTAAAAACAAACACACAAATTGCTGTAACGTCCACAGTCGTATTTCCTCTCTGTGCATTTTGCCGTCCTGACAATCCATTTACGCACGCACGCACACGTTCGCAGCCCAAAGCAAGAACCGGCTGATTTAGTTACCCTTGTATTTCTTTATATTTAAGACTGGGATCTCTAGTACTTGTTGAGTTCGGTCTTAGTTGAGCGGCAGTTGCGTTGCATCAAGATGTGTGTTTACTATGAGCCTATAAGATTAATGGGGGGATAGGAGCGCCCCTTGCAGAGTATATGCGATACTCTCACAAGCACGTAGTTGGTGACGAGCCCGGCGCTTCGAGGACGAGCCCGGATAGCACCCCTTTGAGAACTGGCAGTGTAAAAATCGTCTTTTCTGGGATTTTAGATTATTTACGAACTGAGCTAAGTTCTGCACATCAGGACCAGAGGGTGTGGATTCAACTCTGTTTTCAGATTAGACTCTTGCAGCTTCATATTCGAGCGGCAGGTTGACGGCAACAGCTCATACACCGTTTGCTGGAATGAGCAGAAAATTCTAATCTGCCTTCGTTTTCTGCACACGATTTTACGTCTTTAATTGCTTTAAAGTAATTAACGTTCAAACACTAAATTAATTGCGTTTGACGTCCTGCAAATGCCCCCGAACTGACGCTTGACCAACCTCAGGGGTGTTTGTATGTAGACGGCAGGCAGTCTAATAAGAGCAGCGCAGGCTTTACGTGGAACGCTCCACGTCTGCAAGAGCACAGCGACAGGTTTTATTGCACATCGTGACGGGGCAAAGTATGTGCTCATTAAGCCCCACTTGTGAGTCAACCTGTGAAGACGGGGCAGAGCGATCACACCATCCCCAGACTTTGAATGTTCACCTTTCACACACTTTAAGGATCTGAACTGGACGCTTGCACTCGCTCCTTTGGAATACGTGTAGATTACTGCTTCAGGGAACCTTCACAGACTTGCACTCCACCACGTAGGGTAAACGATAGGACATTTCACACAACTACATGTGCAACCTCACTTGAAAACGTGTCAAATTTGCAGCGAGTGAAAGAAAAGTGACGTGTGCATAAGACCTTGTTATGGTGCTGTATGAATGTGATGCTTTCCTCTAGACGGTTGTAAATAGACGACAGGATATCATTTTTTTTTTTTTTTACGTTTCCCTTCTGCTTTTCAGTCTTTTGTAGCCTGAGCTGTTATCTGACTCTGTGGTTCCTTTCTCCTCACAGTTTAACGCTATTTCTGCTCTATCTTGGTGTATTGCAGAGGCTTTGTGAATCTGTATTATAGAAAAATGTGTGTAAATGCTGCTGGTTCAAAGACAAATCTGAGACGATGCCCTGTAACCAACTCCTGTCCTCTTCCTTTTAGATGTCTGGTTCGCTCCTTTTAAATTGACCACGCGAGTCCGTTTTTAATGAATAACGCCGTTCAATTACATTTTAAGACGTCGCTGAATTTAGTCCAGTTTCTGTGGTGTGATTCTGAAATGCATTTTATCTGGAAATCAATAAGAACAAACATTTTAGGCATCGTTTGGTTTAATTTTCTTTTTTTTTCCCCTGTTAGATTTGGTCAAAGAAATCGATCTGAATACACGAAACACTAGGCAGGGGTTCTTCATTGCTACTTGACATTTAGCTTCGCACGGAGCAGTTCAACAATAAGAAATGGACAGGGCATGTTTTAAACCCCCACAGACAGGGTGTGTCATTCAGCCACGCTAAATACGTGCCAGAATGTATAAAAAAAATGACAAGCTATGTGCTCTGAAGTATTTTTGCGCTGCTTTTACCCTACATATTTTCTTGTTTTACATGTGTATTTTTTTCTTTTCTTTTTGGTTTTGTGTTCTGTTGGGTAATTGGTGTTTGATTCTGACCCAAGATATCTGCAGGGAAATCAGGAGCGCCCTTCCTTCCAAGAAAAAAGGGTTTACATGATACAAGAGGTCGACTGGAGAACACGCGAGTGATTTTCAGACTTCAGAAAGTACAGGGGTACTTGCTATGTTTCTGTTGTGTGGAAGACAATGAGAGGATCTTTGTCAGTATTTGAAATAAACTTTTACAATAATATGAAATGTTTGGCCTTTTGATGTCAGGAGGGGGCGTCTAGTTGCAGATTAAAACCATGAAATATTACAATTAATGACCAGTAGATGGAGCCACAAGCATCCAACATGGAAGTCTCAAGAAAATTCTGGGCCATTCCACTTCATAAACTGAAATGAATGTGAAATACCAAACATATTTGTGTAATACTACCATAGTAGCCTTAACAGGACTAATACTTTTAATGTGTTTTTTTATTATTATTAAAAATGCTGTTATAAAGCCAAAATACAAATGTGAATGTACATGCAGTAATATTGTAACAGTTCCTAAATATCCTTTTGGTTGGTTTAAAAACTTACCAGTTTAGTCTAATGGAGCATTTGTCACTTGAATTATTATTATTTTTTATTAAGGACAACAATTTGTAAATAAAGTAACAATTAGGTTTAAAGTATAAAGTTGTTGAGCAGATTCACAAAGTATTCAGTTTAAATCTAGCTCAGATAAAATAATTAGTTTGGTACACGCTTAGAATTTTAAAATGGACTTCCTTAACTTTTGGAGGAAGAGAGATGTTTTGTCCTAATTTTGGAAATTATTTCCGTTCTAAAATCCTTTAAGAATATAACACCGTTCGACCTGGCCAGGGTACAATTCCATCTGTAAAACTTTTCACGGGCTGGTTTGTAATTTTTTTAAAAATCTTCCTCACTTGAATGTGTTTTGGCGACGAACTGTAAGAAAATCGGTTTTTTCCAGTAGACCATTCACTTCCGCATTTAAGCCCCGCCCCCCGTGCACTTATAAAGCCACCCTGTTCGATGGCACAGTCTCCGGCTTCGCTCGAACTTGAAAGGAATTGAGTCATGTTGAATTGGTTAAAAAGCAACGACTAACGTTTTTTATTTTATTTTTTTTAGCAAGTAGCTAGCAGCAAATTCAAACCCGATTATATTCGAGTAATATTTCGGTAGTCACTCTAAACTTAAAAGATGTTCCCTAAGCCGAAACCGAGCTACGTCTTTCTTCTTCAAAATGGAATCGCGGATCATGGACTACACAGAGATCCCTCGCCTCTGTTCTCCGTGGGCGCCTCGGTAGACTCCGCTAACGGCCACGTATCGTCCTGTAACTCCGTGAACCGGCCGAAGGACCTGGGAATGGCTACGTTGAACGGATATCCCGAGAAACGCTACCAGGAGCTCGGCCACGGCTCGTTACCGAGCACCCCGGCGGAGCTGCGCGGCGAGGCCGACGTGCCCAGCGGTGCTGGGTATGAGCTGCTGGAGACCGAGACGAGGCAACTTATCGGCAGGTTTTTAAGAGAGTTTACTGGACTATCTAAAGCTCAGTGGTCCGAGAGCAAGGAGCTATCGACGATGAAGAGGGTGGTGAACGACCTCCTGGCGAAGCACCGATTCTCATTCAACGGTGAGTGCTGGGAATTTCCACTGATCGCTCGCAGCCATTTTTTTTTTTTTTATTGGGCTGCTTTCAAGGAAGTATTTACAGTCGTGCTTTATTCAACACAAACTGGCTCTGTGTTGGGAATTCTGGCTAGATGGAGATATTTTTACCACCCGCTTCGAATGCTCTCTGCCATTAAATGACTAGTTCTCATCCCCGTAGCTTTCAGCCTGTACCGCCGTAGTGGTTTTAAATGTACGTTGTTAGCTTAGCGCTGATAATGGGTCACGTGGTTCGGTTCAGAGCACAGGGTCTGATTAGGGTTAGGCACAAGGGTGAGGGGTCAAGTTTAGGGTCAGTAGGGTCAGGTTTAGGAAAATGTTTTTTTTTGAATGTCCAGAGGACCAGACTTAACTTTAGATTTTTCTACCTGGATCATTGAGCATGCATCAGGATAAAAACGATTCCCGTTTCACCCTCGTGCAAGCTGCATATTATAAAACGTAGGGACAATTAGTTAATGGGCTGCTGGAACAGAAGCCACTGTTTTTACCATTTAAACAAACCAGGAAGTGATGCGTCGTTTAAATATTCGCCCGTTGACTTCTCTTTAGCGGAAGTAGCCTCGGGATGCCACCTTTTTTTTTAATGTTTGAACCAGTGGATCTCTGACGTCACGTGCTTTTTTGTTTTGTTTCCAGGTATGATCAAGAAGCTGGATTTGGACAACAAAAGAGACATGATGTTCGTATCGGAAGTAGCCTGCAGCCTTTTTGCAGAGGGCACCACCAACTGGGGTCGTATCGCCAGCCTGGTGGCCTTTGGAGCAGCGGTGTCCCAGTACCTGAATGAGAGGGGGAGGGAGAGCTGCGTGGAGCTGGTGGGCCAGGAGATCTCCACATACCTGCTGTCTGACCAGAGAGACTGGCTGCTCAAAAACAACTCTTGGGTAAGTTGCTTCCGGTTGAGGCTGTTGCAGCCTGCTGTTGCGTAACCTGCAAGAAATCCAGTTGAAGTGACTGCACCTTTTTTTTAATGTTGACTTTTTACTAATGTTCTTCTGTTTTTTTTTTCCCAGACTGGCTTTGTGGAGTTCTTTCGGGAGCCAAATCCTGAAACCGCAGTCAGGAACGCATTAATAGCTGTAGCTGGGTTTGCTGGGGTTGGAGCAACTCTTGCCTTGTTGATAAGGTGAATCTGATGGACTCTGAGATGAGGATGCTTCTCCTTTTTTTTTTTTTTACCACCTTTTTGTTTGGATGGAAGAATTATTAAAAGACTCGAGGCTTGTCAGTGGCAAATACTTTTTTTTTTTTTGTCCTCTTCCACACACTTGTAGAAACTGTACATTTTTAGTCTTGTAACATAACTAAGGCGTTTATTTAATTTAAATACATTTATTTTTCTAATTAATGTAAATATGTGTCTATGCAAATTGCAATGGTTATGGGTATCAGTTGACCTGATGTTTCTTTTATTTTACCACTGATTGTTTACTCAACCTTGTATAATATAGCATAAAACAAGAAGGGTGAACTGTATTTTCAGTGCTGTGCAGGCATGAACCCCATCTCCACACAGTCCATCCTCGTGCCTCAACCCCTTTTTGTTCTAATGTTTGAGACAAAGGCAGAAGTGCATTGCAGGTATAGTCTGTGCAAGGAAGACGATTGTCTTGGGACTTTTCCTGGATGAACCTTTTTTGAAAGGGGGAGATGCAAAATGACTGAGAAGAGCCCAAACTAGCTCATCAACTAAGACTATAAAGTTCATTAATGTGGGCAACATTAAACAGTGGATACAAATGAAAGGTGCAGAAGAATAAAGCAGTTTGAACTGACGTTGTTTGACCTGTTGAGTCTTTCTGGTGAAACTACTGCAAACGCATGTTGATGGATCACATCTGCACTTGGTTCTGCTGCAGCGATATCGATGCCATTTTAACGCCCCCTGCTCGTGTATATTCGCACCCCAGCTAAAAGAACCGCTGCCGTTTCCTAGAAATTTGTAGTGTGGTCGTCTGCAGCCGCAGTTCAGCTAGCTGCAGTGTCCTCGCCTCTGCAAAGCTGGTGCATCAGCTACACGAGTTCTCAAACTTTCATAACGCGAGTGCTTCCTGTCTAACCTCGGCTGCACAGAGACTGGTGGCTGATTAAAAACAATGCGTTTGATTGGGTAACTTTTTTTAAAACTCTTCAAAACAGATTAGGCCTCAGTTGAAGTCATGAAGGTTCTAGGGTTCAGTAGTTTTAAGTTTCACTGTATTGCGCTACTTATGTTGCATATTTTGTTTGGACCATATAAAGCTGATGTGAAGCCTCGCCCTTGTTGGTTCAGCTCCTGCAGTCGTCTGGGGTTACAGAACAAACAACTTCCACGGAAGTCTTTTGAGGAAATGGAGAGGAGTCTCCATGGTGATGATCCACAGCAGACCTCCTCGGGTCTACTCCAGTTAATGATGCTCCCCACCGCCCCGGCTACCTGTGAATGGCTTATTGTGAGGAACAGGCTGTTGGAACAATGGGGAGTTTGATGCTGAGGCAATCGCGTGGAGCAGTTTGCACCATCCAAGTGTTTGTGGGGAAAGCAGACAGCGGTGCAGTGTCATGGGGCTGATGGTGCAAATGCAAAACTTGAGGTTGATTGTATTTTCTCCACGACGCGTATCGATTCCATTCTACATAATCTAACGTGCAGGGCCACTCTAAAAGCAAGACATTAGGTTGACAAATCTTAAAGACTGCACCAAGTTTCAACAATCTTCAAGCTTTTGTGGTTGGCCAACTTTTTAAATGCTCTTCTGCACAGTCGGGCGCCTTGAGGAAAAAATCCTCCTCCGGTTGCATTCCAGTGCAGGGATGGGTGCAAGGAGCGGTTTTGAAACTTGTCGGCAAACGTTCTTCAGTGCACATTTGTCACAGATAACCTGAAGTAAACCTGAAGAATGGGAGGAAACTGTTAACTGGGACTACCAGTAACCTTTTACCACCCAACTGGAAGATGGTTGTCAACGAACTTGAACATAAGTTTAAAAGTTATCTTGACTATGAGAGGGTTTGGTGCACTTAAATTGCCCTTTTTAAAGACGTTTAACAATTGGTTTACAAAAGTGACTGACCCATTTCTTAAATTCTTCGGGGAGCAGCTTTTGCACTGGTCTGCCTTCAGCTGTGAAACTTGAGCTCAGGAGCTGCTTCATTGGTTGAAGCTTTTCTACTTCCCTCTAGCAACAGACTCTCCCCTAATTTAAAAAAAAACACCCATTTCTGGGAAATCAGTTGACGCACAAGTTTCTCTTTTAAGGTGGATAATCTGCGCTAGTTGTTTTAGGCTTGCAGTACTTAGAAATGTGACTGAAATGTAGAGATAGGAAATGGGTTTGCAGAGTGCTGCATAAAAGTGAAACGACTAAAAGTGCATGCCTTAACACAAACACACACAACTAGTTCGATGTAGAGCAGCTCACTGACTTTAAATTACAGACTTGCCTAAGGTTGCTTTGAGCTGCTCGAGTTTTTAATTAAATTATGACCTGCAGTCTGTACTTGTCTGAATATAAATAAATGCTTATATGCAAAGTTCAAGTATTGTACAGAGCACCCTCAATATGTCTAATCTCTTTCCAAATCAACCAAAAAAACACCTTTTTGAAGAATATATTTCAATATTGGTGCACAAAAGAACATAGTTTTTTCGTCTTAAGCATCTCGGTAGATGTTAAAAAAGTATCTGCTGTGACGTACTCTTACTTTCTAAAGTTTTATCAGTCAGTGCAGCCTGGGCTTGCTTTATATTCACTTCTGCTGAAGCGGTTGGGGCCCGTTTACAGCTTTATCTATGCTAACACAACTTCTTAGGAATCTAGAGGTCACAGTCGTGTGTGTGCGCATGTGAAATTCAGCCGCTTCAGCTAGAATCTATTGCTAAACGTGCATAAGCGTTTACTGATTATTATTATTATTATTTTTTAATATGGTTCTTTTTAAAAGAAAAGGCGGAACTGTGCATTTTAAATTCAACTTTTAAGTTGTGCACAGTCAAGTAAATGTGATTCGGAGCCGTCCAGTGGTGCAGTTTGAAAGAATTTACTCCTGCAGTTTTCAAGGAATACTGATATGCAGGTACGCATTCAACGTAAACACAGCCTTCCATCCGTTATCTTTACCCGCTTCCTTTTCGGGTCACTGGTGCCCATATCCAGCAGTCCCAGTGTGAGAAGTGAGGGGACACTGGACAGGTCAAGTCCATCATAGACACGCAAGACAACCATTCACTCTCACTCACGCCTAGGGATAATTAAAGTTATCAATCAGCCTAACATGCTCGAGAAAACTCGCACAGCATGGAGAAAACATGCAAACTCCACCCAGAAAGGCCCCCCAGACGGGATTCATTCTAGCAACCTTTTTGCTGAGGCAACAGCTCTACCGTCTGAGCTACCGTGCCGCTTATAAACAGCCTGTAAATATAATTATCCATCCACTGTTGAGCTTCTTGGTCTGAAATAGCTCTTCCATAGATGTCAACAGTGTTAAATTACTTCCAGTCACTTTGGCTGTTTTCAAAAAACACTTGTAGCCATTTCCAAACTTTGCCTTTATTTTTTACTGTTTTACTGACGTTGCTATTAGAAATCAATTAATTTACACTTAGTATATTTTTTTCATTCAACCTTTATTTATACAGGTTAGTTTCATTAACATAACACTTTAAGTGAATAATTGGTCATAAAATACAGAAATTTTTGATAATTCTTTATTTTCAGCCTCCCTCCATGACACCTGTTATGTTTTATGTCCAGCATTGTAAAAATGTGTTTGTTGGAAATGGCCTTTGAGTCTCTTCCATTTTTAGCACTTTCATCGTTGAACAATGAGGCGCATAGTTGAGGCCTGAACTGTAAGAGAAAAGCTTTGAAGCAGAGTTTAAAAATACTCTTCAGATCAGAGGTCAAATGGCTCGTGTGTATCTGAAGCTCCGTCTGATCTCTCGAACATTAAGCCTTTCTTGGTGAGTCGATACTCGCCTCGGATCAAGTTCTACCCACTGGCCGATGTGTCATGTCCCTCTCAGGACAAGTTATACCATCTTTTGAAACTTTATTCTTTGACTCATGACTTTACTGCACCATTAACAGATCATTCATCCAGGCTGGCAGCCATGACGCGTTCACTGACCTCTATAACTAAAACTACTTGCATGTGGTGACCATGTGAGCTCTTTGACCTGTGCAAGTTTTATTTGTTTTATTGATGGCTGAAACATTTGATTTCGTCAAGTAGCTCGACACGTCTTGTATGAGCTGCTTGTGGCGTTATAAATAGTCTCCTTATCAGTTCTGGTGTGCAAAGTTATGCAAAATAACAGAAAACAAAGGTCTTTCTGTTCAAAGTGAATATTATGGACTGCATACATACCAAACTTCAGTTAGCTTTACGGAAGAATTTAATACCGAGGCTTTTTTGGCTCTTATTTGAAAATTATTTGACTGATAAGTAGGTCGTTGCATGAGCTTCCGACTTTATGCAAAGCGTCGTACAAAAGTGAAGCGCTGCACCCAGCAGCCATTTTATTGATTTCTTCTTTTGCTTAATGATTTGGTTTACAAAGTACCACAGTTTGATGTACTGACGATTGATTTCCAACTAAATAAGACAAACGAGCAAAAAGAGATAAAGTGGTGATGAGTCACATAAACAGTTTTTTTTACTTTAAGCAAAATTCCATCATTTTATAAAATTTCTTCATAATCATTGCATAAGGCCTGTCAATGAAAGTCACTAAAACTTCAACCGAATGAACTACGCAAACTGAACACTTCAAACAGGCTGCAGTTAGAAGAACTTCTGAACTTTTCTGTTTTAACTTCAGAGACAACTTGTAGCTCTACAACAACAAATTCTCCTGTCGTCTTATGAATCTTGTAAAAATGTAGCTGCTAAAGATACAAAAAAATGGCTGAAGATCTGAAGTAACAAAATACCTGATATAACCATTTTTGTTTATATTGTTTCATTTGACTAATTTACTTTGAACCTGGTGGGGAAATGAATAAATAAATGAAAACTACTAACACTATTTACAGAAGAACAACTTAATGTTATCAACAAAGTCCATGCTCAATAATCCAGGTATACAATCCAACAACTTTCAGTCAGACCATCTTAGCACCAACATAACTGGTTTGTTCCACTTTGGAGTAAGCTGTTGGGGGAAGAATCCGTTTTGTGTTGTTTCCTTGACTGATGAAGCCTTCTGGATGGAAGGTGAAACGTTTCAGCACAAAAAAAAGAAACCGTCCAGATGACCTGACTGAAAATTGTTGAACTTAATGTTATGTTCAAAATAAAGTAGGAACACGTATACTTATTTAAGCCTACACCTATAACACACCTACCCCCCTGAACATAGGAGGCTCTGCAGTGGAAGTGGTCTCCAGCTACAAGAACTTGGGTGTGCACCAACGACAACCCGAGCTGGAGCAACAGCACCACCAGTCTGATCAAGAAAGCTCATCAGAGACTCTACTTCCTCAGGCGGCTGAGACGAGCTGGACTGGGAAGCTCAGTCCTCACCTCCTTCTACAGGTGTGCAGTGGAGAGCATCCTGTGCTCCAGCATCATCGTGTGGCATGGAGGCTGCACAGCTGCAGAAAGAAAAGCTTTGCAGAGAGTGGTGAAGGCTGCACAGAAGTCTGTTGGAGTCAGTCTCCTCACCATCACAGACATCTACACCTCTAGATGCAGGAAGAGGACCACCTGCATCATGAAGGACACCACTCACCCAGCACACTTTTTGCCCCATTCCCCTCAGGAAGGAGGTTGAGGTGCATTAAGTGTA